CCCTGGGCCTGCTACTGCCTTACCAAACCTCTGGCTGAGCTCCGTGGACACTGAATATCGCCACCCTCTTCCACAGGCACTCAGACATGCAGCCAGTGGGACAGCTCTCTCTGGTGCCAAAAAGAAAGCTTGTTTTTCATGCAGGAAATGTGTCCTTTCAGTCAGCAGAGTTAGAATTAGTAGGTTGAAATTTAGAGTGCTGGACCCCATAAATACCTTGAGATAAATCTTCAGAGAATTGATCTGGGACAGCTATATGGTGTTATAGCACCATTTCCTTTCTTAACAAACATGTACTGAGTATCCATTTTGTCCTGAAGGTTCAGAAATTAGAAAGAAAAATGGATCTCAGGCAAAAGGTAACTTGTAATCTATTGAGAGAAAGAGACCTGTAAACTATAATGTTGCCTTAGACAGGAATAAGATGTGGTGGGAATGCCAACGCCTGTCTACTCTCCGGGGCTCTGGAGAGGAAGGGAAATGCACAGGCTGAGGGTGGGGGTGGAATCCCTGTTGAGCCGCTTAAAGCAAAAATAATTCGGGCAAGTTACTTCAGTTCTCTAAAATACCCATGTGCAAAGATTAAATGAAAATTAATACAAAGAATCTAGCAAAATGCCTTGCAGAGGGTAGGTTAATAAAATCTTGCTTCCCTTATCTTTGATTCCCTCTCAGGGGGTTCTCTGTAGAAATTATTGGGGCAGTGACTCACGTGTCCTTTGTGGTATCTGGATCACAACTGCTGTCTCTCCAAATTTCTTCCTTATGGTAAAGCTTCTGGAGTCTCCAAATGGAGGCCCTTGTGACTTACTGTAATATATGGACTACACACTTGAAAATTTTTTTCTTTTACTCCTTTGTTTCTCATTTTCTCTCTTACTAAAGGTCTGGTGCATGAAAATTCATGCACTTGGTGCAGCACACAGGGGAGGGGGAGGAAGGGCGGGGGGCGGGGGATCCTTCAGCCCAGCCTGCACCCTCTCCCAGTCTTGGAGCCCTCGGGGGATGTCCATCTGCTGACGTAGGCCCACTCCCTGCGAGATCAGGCTTAAGCTGTCAGTCATACATCCCTCTGGCAGCCTGGGAGCCCTCAGGGGATGTCTAACTGATGGCATAGGCCCACTCAGACATCCCTTAGCACTGCCAAGGAGGCAGAAGAAGCCACTACTGCTGCACTCACAGACATCAGCCTGGCTTGTGGCTGAGTGGAGCACCCACTGTGGAAGTGCACTGACCACCAGGGGACAGCTCCTGCATTGAGCATCTGCCCTCTAGTGGTCAGTGTGCATCATAATAACCAGTTGTTCCAGGTCATTTTGCCACTAAGGTCAATTGTATATTACCCTTTTATTATGTAGGATGACTTTTCCTCTGAGACACCAAGCTTCCATTTCATGATCTCTCGCTCTATTTTCTGGGCACCATGAAGAAACCCCTGGTGTCTCAGCCCCTGAGTTTATAATTCTTTCCTATACAGAACTTGTTCCATCTAAACACATTGTGATCTCACAAATATGGGCTTTGCACCACCATGTTCTCTCCTTGAATGACACGGGGTAGGTGGCTTCCTGTGCAGGCATTTGGTGTATGAAGATGTGAACAGCAGAGCCTCCCTTGTTTTGAGGGCCAGTGGAGTCTCCATGGAAACGTAGAGGACTAGAACTTGGGGTGAGCAAGAGTCTATCCACAAGGTAGGACCCCTAGAGTGTGAGTCTTGTAAGGCACAGATGAAACAAAGATGGGACTCTTAAAGTCCTCTGTGTCCAGAGTTCTGCTGATGATCAGAAGTTGGTCAAGCCTCACACTTGGTCTAAAAGACCATAACAATGTCTGCCATGGTGTTGAAAGTTTAAAATTTCTCTTTTTCTTTTTAAAATAGTTTTCAGAGAGGTTAGGAGACATAGGAACATCAATGATGAGAGAGATTCATTGATCAGCTGCCTATGGGGATTGAGCCCGCAATCTGCGTATATGCCCTGACTGAGAATCAAACTGTGATCTCCTGTTTCATAGGTTGTCACTCAATTACTGAGCCACACTGGCTGGCAGGGTTTCATTTTTAATTGTCAGAGCTTGAGTTACCACCTTTCTCATGATCAAACTGTACTCTTCTTTGTCACATACCCGGTCTGTAGATTTTGTGTGGTGTTTTCCATCCACCTTTCACTTAGAAGATAAGTTCTGAGCAAAATCAAACCATTGGGACACTCTCCGATACCAGTCTCTTTCTGTGTCTGTAGCTCTCATAAGCTATAGAGGGGGGCCACACACATTTAATAAATAGAAAATATTTATTATACAGCATTGTCAAGATTATTTGACAAAAGGCAGTAACAAGCCAAACTAAAACACGTTTACAAGAAGCTAAACAGCATGTATAAGCACATACATTAAGGGGAAGAGTTTCTGTTCTTTGGGAATCAGGTATGCATGTGTCCATTTTCAATTTTGAACAATTATAATATAATACCTAATATTCTATTGTATTGAGGAAAACTTAATCATAATAGGAGGCATTCAGAGTAATTACGTGACCAATATTGAATGTGTTCAGTAAATGTCTCACAAAACCTCAGGATAAGATGACATCTTATAGTATTTTAATAGCAGAAGCAGTTTTCCTGGTCTATTAAAAAAATCTGAATGCACAAGTCCTGTGATATCAAGGACATGGGTTAATGGCCTTAAGATAAAAAAAAACAAAAACATGTTTCACTAATATGAAATAGTATGCATTCCCTTGCTGGTTTACCAATTATTTGTTATGTTTTAATAAGCATAGGAACCATCCATATTTCTCACTCTGCTTCATTACGATGAAAATATGGAACTGAAATCCACATTTTAATCATAAGGTCTTTCCCTCAAAGGTGTTATAAATGTTAAAGATATTATAATTTTTTTAAAAAAGAAATACAGTCCATCTTTGATGTGGAACTGACTAAACTTGGCAGTAGAATTTGGGCAGAAGAAACATGAGCCTCTGCCACTGGAGTTGATGCTAAATTCTGAACAAATGATGCATCATGGGTTTAAAGAGTCTAAGATGAGTTTTGACTGAGAAATCACAAGCTTCAACATAAGGAAGCACATTAAAATATGACTGAACATAAGGCATGAACAAATGTATTTAAGGGGGAAAGATTTATTCCATAAATAATATAAATCAAAAGCAGCAAGTAAACCTCTTCATTTGGGGTGAAAAGGGGAAGGCAAAAATAAAACACCTGGCTTGCACACACATGGATATTACACAGAGCAAGTACCAAAAGCACAAAGAAAAGGCTGACCGTGGAAATGTAGGAACAAGAACATGGAAATAAAATTTAAAAGAAAGCAAAAGGGGTAAATAATTTGAGAAATTATGATCAATCTTAGAAGTTATTATATGCTTTAAGCACATCAAGCTCAAGTAGCTGTGGAAAAGCTGTGTTAAAAAACAAACAAAAAAAACAACACCCTAGAGTAACCTGAAATCATCTAAATACTGTCATTTCAATCTTCTGTTTTCATAATGATGTGTGCAAGTTTATAAACCATACCTTTTTATTTTTACCCACAGTTCTTGTAAACTTTCACTGTAACAAATTTTTAAACCACTTCATCAATAACATTTCCAGGTCATAGAATACCTTAAAAATAAGTGTTCTCTTAGAAGAGAAAGGCCCGTCTGAGCAGCATATGAAAAACATTGGACCACAGCACTCAAACCTTCAAACAGTTCCTATAGATATGAGACGGTCTATAAAACATGATTGGGACGTAAGAATATTTATATTACATCGGAAAGACAATCTTCTAGTTGCAGGTAGATTGACATCACATTGCACAAATTTTATTATCACATGTATACAAGAACACAAGAACACGTTCACTCACTGGTTACTGGGACTTCTGTGACTACGAGGAAGAATTATTCGTCGTTAAACATTTAATTTACCAGTAGTACCAGTTGCTATGAGTACACCGTTAAATTCAGAGACGGATTTGTTGCTGTACTTACTGGGAGAAACGTTGGCACCAAATACACATACTGCATCTTAGAAGTTCAACTGGGAAGTATTATTAGCTACAGTTAATGGAAGGTAACAAGTTTGCCACATGGTTTGTTCTCTGTAACTGGCGGGCAAAGGAGAGCCCTCCTGGCACTAATGCAAGTTAGTCCACCAAAGGTCTTCGGCCATTCTTGAAACAATCTCTCTCGTGCTGGCCTTTCCCCTAATCATCAGCAAGCAAGTATCAGATATGGGAAGCTGAATGTGCTGATTTTGTTCAAAGCTCCATGCTTATGTATGTATTGTCTAGTTTTCTCATTGCATCCTTCCCTAGCTCTACTGATGAAGCACTTTTTGGTGATAATTTTGCTCTTATTTCTGTTTTCCCGGAACAGAACACAGTGGCAGCGTGCCCATGCACCTTTCTCTAAGCGTGGCAGCAGGCTGCTCTGTGTCAGGTGCAGTGGGAAGAGAGGCCCCTAACCCGGCCAGTCCTGGGGTCTCCTGAGGACCAGCAGTCTGTGCTCCCACCCTTGGTTCCCTGTGTGGTTCCTGTTTGACCCTCCCTCCTTCACCCCTAGCTCTGACTGGCTCCACCAGGCTCACCAGGAATACCATGTGGGGAAGTCATGATCCAACCCATGGTCCTGCACCTTTCAAACTGGCCACGTGTGTGTGGGGGCATGCAACTCTATGCACAATTGTCCAAAAAAAAGAGAGAGATGGTTTTCGTCGATTTCATTTTGATCGATTTTTGTGATAAAAGTTACATACTATATGGGGTTGTGCTTTGTCAGAATTCCCTTTCTTCCCAGGGAAGACTGTGAATAATGCAAGAATCGGAATTTCCCCCCTCCGGCCTCCCTCCTCGGGGCAGCGGCAGCCTTCTCTTCCCTCCACACCTCGCCCTCCACTCCCAGGTGCCCCCCAGCTATCTGCACACCCCGGAGGCGCTGGTGCTCCCGCCCTGCCTTCTCTTGCTTTCCCACGCGGACACCTCCTCCCCTACAGGGTGGAAGAGCTTTGCTTGTAGTCCCTCAGGATGACGGAGGCGTAGGTCACGTTGGGAGGGGTGCAGAGCACGGACTCGGACACCGGGGAGCTGGGCGCCGAGCTGCCCGACGCCACCGAGTCGCGGAAAGGCGAGGGGGGCGTGAGGGCGGGCGAAGCCTCCAGGGCGGGTTTGCGGGGGGCCGCCGGCGGGCCCTCCCCCTCCCCTTCCCCCTCCTCCTCTTCCTCCTCCTCCAGCTCGTCTTCCTCCGTGGTCCCTTCCCGCTCCGACAGGTACTCCTGGAGCAGCTTGAACCTCTCGCTGTCGTCCTCGTCCTCGGCCGCGGGGGAGGCGGGCTCGTCCCCCGACGGGCTCAGCTGCAGCGGGAGCATCTGCAGGTGCTGCGGGGGCGCGGGCGGCGGGAACAGGCACCGCACCCCGTTCCCCGGGCCCCCGGGGGCGGCGAGCACCGCGTTGAAATCCGGGATGCCGGTGCTGAAATTGTGGACCACTCCCTGCAGCTGGTCCAGGAAGGATGTCTGCGGCTGCAGCTGCGGGAGGGGAGGGGGCAGGCCCTGGGGGACCTCGGGGTCGGCCAGGAACAGGGGCGTCTCCTCCGCCGCCAGGTGGGGCAGCAGCGGCGGGGTGCTCGCGGCCGAGGGCACGCGCCGGTGCACCACCATGGAGGGGCTGCTGGCGGGGCTGAAGCCGGCGGGCTGGGCGTCCTCCTCCACGTTGTAGAGGGTCTTGGTGCTGGCATCCGAGAAGGTGAGGCTCTTGCCGGAGCCCTGGTGACTTTTAGTGAGGGGCTTGATGACGGCCGTCTGGTTGCAGGCCGTTGTCTCGTTGGTCTTCACGTGCACAGAGAGGCGGTGCCACATGTGCTGTCCCGTGGGCGCCTGCCTTCCACCCGGCTCAGACCATGACACAGACTTGCCATTCGAACTATGGATAGAATAGAGATGGGTTTATGGGCAGGGATTGCATGCACACGGGTAAAACACATCATTTAAAAAAAAATTGTTTGTTTTTTTTTTTGCAAGCCCAGCTCAATGCAATCGGATTTGCCCCTCAGCTGTCCCCCACATCCCCAGCCTCTCCTTATCACTGATTCAGTGCTAAGAGCTGCGGGGCTAAGAGTGTGGACCCCAGATTGGCTCCGAAACTGCGGCTGCTGGTTCCATCCACCCCAGGATGAGGCAGGACCTTTTGACCCTGCGGAAAGTCAGAGGGGAGAAAAGCCAGCCTGCTGTAGAAGCAGCTTTTTAGGTTTGAGGTTTCACAGAGTTACTGCACAACCACACACACATATACACACACATTCTAAGGCAATGATAAGATTATTGTTCAATGCACATCTTTAAAAGACTCCAAGACTTAGTTACACGCGAGTAATAGAACACAGTAACCTCCCTTTCTCCTTAGTTTTCTTTGTCCCTGAAACAAATTCAGACCCACAAGCTATTCTCATTGTCCTGTGGGACCATAGCACACTGCCTCTCAGCTGCCCATTCTGCCATGCAGGTGTCTCCTGTTAACCGCAGCAGCATGCTCACACACATGGTACCTGTACAGGTGAGAAAGAAAAGCAGATGACAGGAAAACCCAGACCCATGCTCCGTTTCAGCATTTCGAAACTACAGCTTTTCCTTTTATTTCCAAGCACTGCTCCTGATACATAGGATGGATCACAACTCACATAAAGGCTCCGATTCACAGCAGGTGGTGTGGGGCTTTCACCCTGGGGACGTTTAACCAGGTGTATTTGAAAAGAGATAGAACCGGAAAGTCCAGGAAAATACAGATGCTCCATCCTGCTTTAGTTCTCCGGCATAGTTTGATACCAATGAGACAAAATGAAGATTCAGATAAAGCAAAACTTTCTGAGACCAAAAACCCTTCCCTGACCTTTTCCTGACTGAACCCGGATGAAGGAAAATCCCAGGACAACAAGAGCCCCACAGCCTTACCCATTCCATCTTCATGGGACTCTCATAAAACCAGCTACATAGAATAGAAGAAAAGGAAATACACTGTGTGTGCCCGCTGCACATTCTATTGAAGTAACTATGGCCTTACTTTTGGACTCTAGGCTTATGTTCTATGTAACCTTTTAGCAGATGGTGGTACTTGACCATAGCATGTTATTAATAACAACAGCGTTAATACTTAATTTGGGAAATGCTTTCTGTTCTGTTTTATTAGGAGTTTTTGCTTCTGCTACGTCCATGAAAACAATAATAACACATTGAAACGTTAAAAGGAATAGGTGAATGTGTAAAATAAATTATTCCACATTATAATCTTTTGTTTGAAAAAAGTAGGAAATGATCAATAGTTAATATAACAGCTTATTTAATCATTTTCAAAATGCAGGTATGACTGCTTCAAAAGTTATATGTGTGTCACATTATGATGAGGATAATATTTTGACATTTCATACTTTATAATTTAAAAAGTGAAGTGAGCCAACTAAGTACAGATTCTTGTAAGAATCATGTTATCTACTATAGAAATTCTAGATACCAAGGTTCTAAAATAGATATAATAGCTAACATTTTTATCTGTGGAAAGGGTAGTTTCTCCATACATATGATCATTTATGCTGTATTTTTAATTGTCTAAGAAAAATCTCATCTCTGAATGGTTATATCAAATTTAGTATTTGAAATTATAGGTAAATTCACCTCCCACTTTCATCTTCCTCAATCTCCTCCATCCCCACTCAACTCACACTGTTTCTTTATAAAGTCAATATAGTTCCTCCAGAAAGTATAAAGCTTGTATTTGCCTCTGGCCTTGTTCATGTATGATATATTTTATTTGGTGTCCCATCCAACCTCAATGTCTTCCATCTTCTTTCAATTGAAATAGAAACACGTTTTCCTTCTCCGAATTCCTGCCTCTCAATGCTCACTCAGAAAACCCTTATAAAACAAGTCCCTTGAAAACAAAAACACTAAATTGAAAAGATCTATGCATCCCTATGCACATTGCAGCATTACTGGTAATAGCCAAGATATGAAAACAACTTAGATGTCTATCAACAGACAAATAAAGAAGTAGTATATACATAATGGAATATTTATTATTCAGCAATTTCGAAAGTATGTAATCTTGCCATTTGTAAGAACATGGATGGAAATGGGGGGTATTATACCAAAAGAAATGTCAGATAGAAAAAGACATCTATCATATGATTGCACTGATGTATGGAATTTAAACACAAAACAAAAGAAATGAACAAACAAAATAGAAACAGACACAAATATAGAGAACAAGCTGATAGTTACCAAAGGGGAGGGCCTTAAGAAAATAAATGAATGAATAAATAAATAAATGTCCTTTGAGAACAAGTCTGCCCCTGCTTCTACCAGTTTCCACAGACTAGCCAAAAGTGACCTCTATTAGCAAAAAAAAAAAAAAAAGGCATCCTTATATGCCTGGGACTTACATTACTCACTCACATGAGTTGTTTTCCTCATTGCTCAGGATTTCTATGGGGGCCTCTTTTAAAATCATGCACTTCCATGTGCTAAAGGTATTATCAATCATCTGGCAGACAGAAATAATCATAATTTAGTTCTGTTTTAATTTGATACACTTTTTATTCTTTTGGTGGGATATTCTCCCCCCACCCACCCCGGAATTAATCAAAATTAGCAGCTTTCCTTCCCCTAGAGTCTTGCTCTGAATCTGCTGTAAAGTACTGTTTAATTAGGAAGCAATCATAATCCCCCAGGGCATTGATCAAAGTAAGAAAATTAGATTTTTTTTCTCGAGGACAACATAAACCATTTTATAAAATCCAGAGATGGAGGGGGAAAAAAAAAAAGTGTCATTTTGTATAAAGTGCAGTACAGAATGTAAACCTTGGCCACTGGAATAGTTATTTCTAACCTGCGGTTCACAGACAGTTTGATGTGAATTTACATGGGCATTAAACATTGTTTTTAGACTGAATCAATAGTATGTCTTTGTAGATTAGTTACTGTTTGTTTGTTTTTTGCTTGTTTTTTAAATATGTTTTTACTGATTTTAGAAATAAAGAGAGAGGGAGAGAAAGAAACATCCAGGAGAAACATCAATCAGCTGCCTCCTTCATACCCCCTAATGGGGGTCTAGCCCATGACCCAGGCATATGCCCTGACTGGGAATTGAACCTGCATGGGATGATGCTCAACCAACTGAGCTACACCAGCCAGCCGGGCACTGTTATTTTAAATGCACGCAAATGATGTTGTGATAAAATGTACTGCTAGATACAAATGCAACTAAATCCTGAAGAATTTTTTTTTGTATTTTGTGTTCAAGTGGCCACTAGTTAAGGTACAAATAATATCATAAATTTTGTTGAAGGTTTATATCCATTTTGGTTTGTAAAGCAATTATCCAATTTGAAGCCCATTGCTGACACCAAGAGAAGAAAAATGTATAAAATATGGGGCAAAAAAAGGAATAAGTACACTATAAAAATAAAATAAAACTATTATTTAATTTCAGATAACTTCAATATCTTATCATCACCACCAACTTCTTCCTTCTAATATTTGATTTGACTGAGTTTCCTAAAAAAAAGCTCCCTGGTCTAGAAACACCACATAATTGATACAAAGGATTCCATCCTTCTTGCTCTTTCAAAAGACAGGTATCATGCCTAAATTAATCTCGTATTTGAAGATTAAATGCAGTAGTAGCTGGTGTAACTACCTTGGGTGTCTAAATATTTTTGTTGATATGGAAGCTATTGGAGGAAACCCCTGTTAGGCCTGGGAAGATATATACCCATAGTGTTGAGAGCTAAGCTGGCCTGGGGCTACAGTTTCAGCTACAACAGGCTTGGGACCTTGCTTTGGTTTTCCTTTCATTAAATATTGCCATCCCTCCAAACAGAAAAGGCAATATTTACAGCACTGCAGAGACTAATTAGAAGTGGGTGGTGTACACAGATCAGTATATCTTAGCGGTCAGAGTGATACTTTCTCATTTGTTTCAGTAAGTACTAGTTACATCTGCCGAGAACACTGTTCTCTGCTCCAGAAAGGTCTAAAACGGGAATAGCAGTGGGTGGGTGTTTGAGATCAGGAGGAAAGCGTCCTGAACAAGCTGCCTGAGGGGGAAGCTCACACAACACCTGTCTCCCTTATGTCCAATTCCAGGCTTAATAGCTTCCCAACAGACATAAGGATGGCATCCAGAGAGCCCACAGACAAGGAAAGACCTTCATGTAACGGGGAGGGAAGGCACTCCTGGGAACCTGAGAGGTTAGCATTTGTTTTCTTCTGAAAAGGAAAGTGGAAAGAGGAAATGCCATTAGGCCACACCTGGAGAGAATGGGGGCCAAGTTAAGAAAACAAGCCAAAGCCACAGACAGGCATGAGAGGGATTCTGCCTAGGCCTTGCAGCTATGGCTGAGACAGGAGGCTTTTCAAGGAAGGCATGGTGCTGTTTCCATGGGGACACCCCAAAGATCTCACCGGTATCTGCTTCAGCGCACTGGTACCAAAATGCGGTTTGAATGATGTTTGTAGAATCTCAGTCACAGGAACTATTTGAAATCACTTGAATCAGACACCTGTTTTCCCAGGCAATCTCCAGCTAGTTTTCGATACAGACAGCTCCCCTGGAATCCAGTTCCACTTCTTGAAGACTTTCCAGAAAAACCTGCATAGTCAGTATCATTCTCTGGGAGCCTATCTGAATGTAATTAAAATCTCTCACCTTTTGACTCACCACTAATTGTAAGGTAGAGTATCTGTGAATGTGTTATTGAAGACAAACACTCTTTGATTACATGAGAACCTGGAGTTTCTATTGATATTAAATCTTAAACAGCGTTGTGAATTTTATCCCTCTCTTCTTGAGTCTCATCTCATCATAAGCAAGCCAAAGAACTATTCGGCTAGCTGGAATTTCCCATATTAGAAAGTCTAAATACATGGTCC